ATTCAGTGACCTAGACAATTTGGAGGATAAGGTGAAAAGAAATTTCATGAGGTTCAGCAAGGACAAGTGCAAAGTCCTGCACTTAGGACGGAAGAATCCCATGCAGGCTGGGGACCAACTGGCTAAGCAGCAGCTCTGCAGAAAAGGACCTAGAGGTTACAATGGACAATAAGCTGGATATGTGTCAAAACCGTGCCCTTGTTGCCAAGAAAGCTAACAGCATACTGGGCTGCATTAGTAGGAGTGTTGCCAGCAGATTGAGAGACACAATTATTCCCCTTTATTCAGCACCAGTGAGGCCACATCTGGAGTACTGTGTTCAGTTTTTGGCCCCCCACTACAGAAAGGATGTGGACAAGTGGGAGAGAGTCCAGTGAAGGGCAACGAAAATGGCTAGGTGGCTAGGACACATGACTTCTGAGGATAGGCTGAAGAAATTGGGGTTATTTAGTCTGCAGAAAAGAAAAAGGGGGGTGGGGAGGGATTTGATAGCAGCCTTCAACATTACCTGAAGGGTAGTTCCAAAGAAGATAGAGCTAGACTTCTCAGTTGTGGCAGATGACAGAACAAGGAGCAATGGTCTCAAGTTGCAGCAAGAAAAGTTTAGGTTAGATATTAGGAAAAACTTTCTCACCAGGAGAGCGGTGAAGCACAGGAATGGGTTACCTAGAGATGTGGTGGTCTCTCCATCCTTGGAGATTTTTAAGGCCCAGCTTGACAAAGCCCTGGCTGAGATGATCTAGTTGGAGATGGCCCTGCTTTGAGCAGGGGGTTGAATTAGATGACCTCCTGAAGTCCTCCCAACCCTAATTTTCTATGATTTTGTGTGGCCCATGGTCCTCCAGCTAGACATCCCTGCTCTACAGAAAGGAGAGCATCACCAGTACCAGCCTTTTTGTAAGAGAAGACTGGCCTCCTAAAGGTGGGCATCTACCTTTAGAAGCAAGTTCCAGCCTCTGGATCCTAAATGGATGGAGGTGCCTCCCTGCTACTGTGAATAAAGGGTAACCCTGCTATGCTCTGTCATGGTTATGTTCTCTAATGGCAACTTTGTTTATTCCTTAGGAGCATACCCTTATTAATACGCATGTTTGGAGGTCTGGGAGTTACTTTTGTTTGTTTGCACTGTTGATGGATGAAGCATGCAAATATAAAGAGCCAGATGAATCAGATCTTTGTGCCTTCTGGCCCTGCCTTCTAAAATTGTGGAAGTTAGAGGTGCACAAATGTTACAGAAGGAAAGTTAAGGAAAAGCCACCATACTCACTATGAGCTGGGCAGAGAGCTCTGCAGTTGGGTGGCCCATCAATGGGAGGAGGTGTCAAAATATTTTTGGGGATCTGATTCTTAAAACCAGATTCTAACCATTTACCCACTTGATTGGTCCTGGTTTGACTATTTGTGGAGTAAGATGCTTGCTATTTAGAAGGAATTTAAGACTCTTAAAATCTGGCCCCTGAATGTTAAAAACCTGAAAAAAGATTAATTAAAGACTGCTAGTTAATGAGATATGAACCTGATCCTAATCTGTCACTCTGGTTTGTATTAGGAATATTAGGAACTGAGGCCAGGGGAGTTACATTGGTGTAAAACATATGTGACCATATTTGTTTGCCCATCAACAGCCCAAGAAACAAACAAGTAAAAAGCCCACGTACAAGGAACCCTCACAAGGACAATCTCATACGGGAGCCATGCAAAGTTATTATCCCAAATTTTCAGTAATAAACATAGTAATAATGGCTCATCAAGCTCAACGTTACAATATCTGTTCATTACAGGGAGACTGTCAAGTTACGAGTTACAACTCCTCTGGGAGCTGCTTTAAACGGAGGATTCTGTTAAACCTCTGTCTGCAGAGATCTGGGAAAAAACAGATTGTTTATATGGAAATACTAGTCACTGCATATTTCTTTTGAAAGTCATGTATAAGCATTATTAATTTATTATGCAAATCGCAAAAATGTTGTTTGGAAATCCAGAAATGTGGCTTTTATGTACTGCTAACTGCAGGCAACGTACAGAACAAAATGTCTGTATTCCATTCATCTTTATATACACATTTATAAATTTGCATTTATCAATTGATAAGTGTCTCACAGTTACCACAGTACTATCACTGCTGTACTGTCACACAGTGCTACCACCTGCCTTGTCCACACCAGCAAAAATCAATGTAAAAATCTGCACGGGTCCTAACTAGGATGGCCATCACAGACGACAGTCCGGTTTTCTGCTACTCTGTCCTCTAGTGATATGAAACCCCACGCCTTTATGTCCTCTACCATGGCACCCTAGTCCTAACGCCAGCTCTGCTGAACTGCACAGCTGGGTCTGAGGGTGGTAAAAGCGACTGGAGGGGAACAAACCACCGCTGTGCGACACAACTGTGTGGCACAAGCGCAGACGAAACCTGCCAGCTCAGCACCTCCCCGACAACCCACCCCCACGTTTTAGTAAGTTTGGGGGGGTCAGCGCCCCTCTCAGGAACAGGCGTGTCCGGGTCAGGGAGCCATCGCGGCCGCGTGCCCACGCGCAGACCCCTCGCTCTGACCAGGGCCCGACACGTTTCTTGGCCCGGCTGAAGAAGTGGGAGGGACCGGAGCGGGCTCGGAGGTCCGGGGCGGACGAGGCTGCGGCAGGGCACACC